AATGGACAGATTTCAGAGTAGCAGCCGTGTTAGTCTCTATCCCCAAAAAGAAAAGGAGGACTTGTGGCACCTTAGAGACTAACAAATTTATTTGAGCATAAGCTTTCATGAGCTATAGCTCACTTCATCGGATGCATTCAGTGGAAAATATAGTGGGGAGATTTCTATACACAGAGAACATGAAACAATGGCTGTTACCATACACACTGTAATGAGAGTGCTCAGGTAAGGCGAGCTATTACCAGCAAGAGAGTGGGGGTGGGGAGACCTTTTGTAGTGATAATCAAGGTGGGCCATTTCCAGCAGTTGACAAGAACATCTGAGGAGAGCGGGGGGAGGGAGTTGGGGAAGGGGAGGAATAAACATGGGGAAATAGTTTTACTTTGTGTAATGACACATCCACTCCCAGTCTCTATTCAAGCCTAAGTTAATGGGTTAATGGTGTCCAGTTTGCAAATTAATTCCAATTCAACAGTCTCTCGTTGGAGTCTGTTTCTGAAGTTTTTCTGTTGTAATATTGCGACTTTTAGGTCTGTAATCGAGTGACCAGGGAGATTGAAGTGTTCTCCGACTGGTTTTTGAATGTTATAATTCTTGATGTCTGATTTGTGTCCATTTATTCTTTTAAGTAGAGACTGTCTGGTTTGGCCAATGTACATGATGGCATATATCACATTGGTAGACGTGCAGGTGAACGAGCCTCTGATAGTGTGGTTGATGTGATTAGGTCCTATGATAGTGTCCCCGAATAGATATGTGAACGGAATTGGCAACAGGCTTTGTTGCAAGGATAGGCTCCTAAGTTTTTTTTTTGCTGTGTGGTTGTAGGTGAGTATTTGCTTCAGGTTGGGGGGCTAATCTGTAGGTAAGGACTGGCCTGTCTCCAAAGATCTGTGAGAGTGAGGGATTGTCCTTCAGGATAGGTTGTAGATCCTTGATGATGCGCTGGAGAGGTTTTAGTTGGGGGCTGAAGGTGATGGCTAGTGGCGTTCTGTTACTTTCTTTGTTGGGCCTGTCCTGTAGTAGGTAACTTCTGGGAACTCTTCTGGCTCTGTCAATCTGTTTCTTCACTTCAGCAGGTGGGTAGTGTAGTTGTAAGAATACTTGATAGAGATCTTGTAGGTGTTTGTCTCTGTCTGAGGGGATGGAGCAAATGCGGTTGTATCAGAGCTTGGCTGTAGACAATGGATCCTGTGGTGTGGTCTGGATGAAAGCTGGAGGCATGTAGGTAAGTATAGCAGTCAGTAGGTTTCCAGTATAGGGTGGTGTTTATGTGACCATTGCTTATTAGCACTGTAGTGTCCAGGAAGTGGATCTCTTGTGTGGACTGGTCCAGGCTGAGGTTGATGGTGGGATGGAAATTGTTGACATAATGGTGGAATTCCTCAAGGGCTTCTTTTCCATGGGTCCAGATGATGAAGATCTCATCAATGTAGCGCAAGTAGAGTAGGGGCGTTAGGGGGCGAGAGCTGAGGAAGCGTTGTTCTAAGTCAGCCATAAAAATGTTGGCATACTGTGGGGCCATGCGGGTACCCATAGGAGTGCCGCTGACTTGAAGTTATACATTGTTCCCAAATGTGAAATAGTTATGGGTGAGGATAAAGTCACAAAGTTCAGCCACCAGGTTTGCCGTGACATTATCGGGGATAGTGTTCCTGACGGCCTGTAGTACATCTTTGAGTGGAATGTTGGTATAGAGGGCTTCTACATCCATAGTGGCCAGGGTGGTATTTTTCATTCCACCACTGGTATCAGAATGGAAAAGAATTGATCTATTGCAGAATGGCCTAACTATCAGGGCAGATGGTATCAGAACACATTTTTCAATGACTGCCCTGCCAAGGTCAGAAAGTCATACAGCTTAAGGCTGGAAGGGTCTACAGATAATTTAGTCTGACCTCCTGTATCTCAAAGGCCACTAAACTCTACCCAGCCACCTTCACACCAAGTCTAAGGACCAGAATTAAACCACAGTATTACAGTTGTCAGGAGACTATTGCACGCCACAGACAGAGAACAGGAGAGACTGAGCAGTATCAGTTCACCAAAGGTCACAATATAGAAAGTATAGTGTTTTTAAAGAACCCCTCAGGTCCTGCCAGCTCATATACAGATCATGGAAGGATTTAATTCCAGTTTGGCATCCACAATGTTTTGAACAATGTCTCTTCATTTAGGTGAGGTGTCATATATACATATATGACATACACACACACATATATCAGACATGCAGTACAGTATACATGTATATATGTACAAGTATATGGCATATGGTGAAGTATCAGGAGAATTCAAATAAAAATGATGAGATACATTGATCTATTTGAAAACAATCTTTTTATACGGTCAGGGCTTCCAGATAAAAGTGCCTGTTTCCCCTACAGCCACATACCACACAACAGAACCACTAACCCAGGAACCTATCCTTGCAACAAAGCCCGTTGCCAACTGTGCCCACATATCTATTCAGGGGACACCATCACAGGGCCTAATAACATCAGCCACACTATCAGAGGCTCGTTCACCTGCACATCCACCAATGTGATATATGCCATCATGTGCCAGCAATGCCCCTCTGCCATGTACACTGGTCAAACTGGACAGTCTCTACGTAAAAGAATAAATGGACACAAATCAGATGTCAAGAATTATAACATTCATAAACCAGTCAGAGAACACTTCAATCTCTCTGGTCACGCGATTACAGACATGAAAGTTGCGATATTACAACAAAAAAAAACTTAAAATCCAGACTCCAGCGAGAGACTGCTGAATCGGAATTCATTTGCAAATTGGATACAATTAACTTAGGCTTGAATAGAGACTGGGAGTGGCTAAGTCATTATGCAAGGTAACCTATTTCCCCTTGTTTTTTCCTACCCCTCCCCCCCGAGACGTTCTTGTTAAACCCTGGATTTGTGCTGGAAATGGCCCACCTTGATTATCATACACATTGTAGGGAGAGTGATCACTTTAGATAAGCTATTACCAGCAGGAGAGTGGGGTGAGAGGAGGTATTTTTTTATGCTTTGTGTGTATAAAAAGATCTTCTACACTTTCCACAGTATGCATCCGATGAAGTGAGCTGTAGCTCACGAAAGCTTATACTCAAATAAATTGGTTAGTCTCTAAGGTGCCACAAGTACTCCTTTTCTTTTTGCGAATACAGACTAACACGGCTGTTACTCTGAAACATTTCTAGGAGTGGCAGGTACAACAGGAGAGTCCAGCTAGGGCTTCTCTATGTGAGGGTGGATTAAAAAAAGAAGAGTTAAAATCAAATTAAATTTGTTTTCTCTGCCCCTCCCTTAAATAATCTCTATCCCCAGATGAAGAGTGGCAGAATTACTTCCTTCTCTGCAGAATTTTGTGTTTGCAAGTGTTGAATTTATTTTAAGAGCTTCCATAAAGACAATACTTTAGACATGCTTGTCAGCTATTTCTGAAATCTCTTTGATGAGGAAAGCAGCTCTGTAAAATGGCATCATGCAGTTCCATGGTTATTGTCCCAATCATTTTCATACCCAATTTATTAATTTTAAAAATAAATATATGGGCTTTCTATCTATCAGCCCTTATTTTCATTCTATGTTCTGAAAGTCAAGGTATGTGCTTTTCTACTGTGCTCTACGAACCCCCTGCTGGAGTGGCTGGGGAAGGACATGCACAGTGGCATTCTACAACAGTCAGGACATCATGCTCAGGCATGAGACAAGGAAATAAACTCACTATACACAGAGTTCTGTCAAATACAGAAACAGAAAACTAACAAACAGGGAGGGGAGAAAAAGAAAAATCATCCCCCAATAATCTTTCAGTTTTATTCATCTTAGATATGTGTGTTGTGATGGGGCAAGGCCAGATGGCTATAGAAAAGTAGTGGGAGATAGATATATTAGCTCCAGGCTAAACAAATCCCTGGTACCAGGATAAGTGAAATGGCAGCTGCTCCAGGTCAATTAAGACACCTGCGGGCAATTAAGGACTTTCCAGAAGGCAGGGAGAATGCTAGGCTGATTGGGACACCTGAAGCCAATCAGGGGCTGGCTGAAACTAGTCAAAAGCCTCCCAGTTAGTCAGGTGGGTGTGCATATCAAGAGCTGTGGGAGGAAGTTGTGCTGTTGGAGAGACTGAGTAGTACACACCATATCAGGCACAAGGAAGGAGGCCCTGAGGTAAGGATGAAGTGGAGCTTGAGGAAGTGAGGGCTGCTGTGGGGGAAGTAGCCCAGGGAATTGTACATGTCATGTTTCTAAAAGGTCAGCTATCATAGCTGATACTATTGGGGTCCCTGGGCTGAAGCCCGCAGTAGAGGGTGGGCCAGGGCTTCCCCTTCCCCTTTGCCCCCTGATTAATCACTGAGACTGGGAGACAACAGAGACTGTGCAAGGAAGGATAACTTCTCCTCACCTCCCTCGCTGGCTTATGATGAAAATGGCTCAGTAGACTGTGACCCTTGTCTCTAGAGCGAGAACGGTTACATGGGGGGTCACAGTGAGCCTCTGAGGCTAGCAAAATCCGTCAGGAAACGTAGGACCCATGGAGGCAAGGACAGAGCTTTGTCACTGTATGTAAAACAGTAGGAAAAACCTTTTAGAGAAAATGTGATTATTAAGATCACATTGTCCTTTAATATTTTTGGAATAATAAATTGATTTTTCTGCAGACTTTATTCCTATTGCTATGATTAAAATCTCTTGTGCATTCCCTTCCCTCACAGCAGTAGGGCATCTGAGGTCTATTTCAACACATTAGACCTGCACAAAATGACTATTGCAACCACATTCCACAAATGCTTTCTCCCCCTTCAGCCTAGCATACATGTGTGCACGTCTGCTACAAGAGACACAGGAAATGACCGGTCTCTTATTTTTCTCTCAGTATCACAATCAAGGTTTTTCCTCTTTTTTACTACAATAAAGAACAAAGAACTTCTAGTACCACCCCCTTCAGGACTCATATGAAAGTGGCAGTGTGTGAGGGAAAAAACTGTTACCTACCTTCTCGTAATTGTTGTTGTTCGAGATGTGTTCATGTCAATTCCAAGTAGGTGTGTGTGCACGCCACATGCACAGTCGTTGGAAGGTTTTCCCCCTAGCATCTAAGCAGTACCCGTTGGATGGGCTGTGGAGACGCCTGGAGTCGCACCTTCATGGTAGTCTATATAGGTCCCTGGCGACTGCTGCCTCTTCAGTTCCTTCTTGCCGAATACCCTGACAGAGGGGAAGGAGGGTGGGTCTCGGAATGGACATGAGCAACACATCTCTAAGAACAACAATTACGAGAAGGTAGGTAACAGTTTTTTCTTCTTAGAGTGCTTGCTCATGTTGATTCCAAGTAGGTGACTGTGATGTTCCCCTCTGGTGTTATCTGAACTGGTGATCTGCTAGGTCACTCCAATCCTTGACTCTGGGAGCCAGCCTTACCCTGCTCTGCTATAAGAACCCCCCACTCCTGGGCTGTTCATGCACAGCCTCTGGCATGTAAGCCGCTCCTTGGATTGTGCAACCAAATGACACTAGCCAATATCTCCAGTCCCAGACACAACCCTAGCAGCCTCTGTCTTCCAGTGCCAAGTTACGCCCGCTGGACGCTGCAAGCTTATATGAATTCACCAATTTAACAAAGAAACTGATATGTACAAGGCTTGTTAACTCAAGGGGAGCCTCTAACACACTTCAAACCAAACACACTGCTTCAGGTAGAACAAACAGACAGATTTTAAGTGATTGTAAGTCCACCCATAACAAGTCAGATTTGGTCAAATGAAATAAAATCAAATTGTATTCTAAGCTGATCTTAACACTTTCAATGCCCTTACAAACTTAGATGCTTCTCACCACAGGCTGGCTGGTTGTCCTTCAGCCAGGCTCTCCCCTTTGATCAGCGCTTCAGTTGCTTGGTGTGGTGTCCGTAGGAGTAGGTGGAAGACAGAGGAAGAGCATGGTAAACGTCTCTCCCTTTTATCATGTCCTTTCTTCCCTCTTGGCTTTGCCCCCACCCCCTTCAGAGTCAGGTGAGTATTACCTCATCGCAGTCCCATACTGACCAAAGGAAGGGGGATGACTCACTCGAGCAGATCCTTTTGTTGCTGTGAAGCTGGGCTGGGTTTGTCTCATACTTGCCCTGATGAGGTGTGAACTGCCTCTCTGCTCTTGGAGAGTTTTTGCCTGGGCTTATTTTAAGCCATGAGGATACATTTTCAGCCTCATAACTATATATATGAAATTATAACCTATAACACTACTGTAACAATTACTGTAACATCACTATAACAATGCTCAGTGCATCATGAGCCTTCAGGAGACACCGAACAGGACAAACTTTGTGTAGGATACCACCCAATCATTTTACAAGGATGAACATGGGGATGCTGGGTGTTCCCCCGAGGTACAGAGCATCACAGTGACTCCCAAACACCTCCTAGGAGGAGGGGTCAGAGCTCAGCGGGTCGCCGACTGCAGCACCGCTCTACCAAATGCGGCATCATCTCTGGCCTGCTGTGTAATGGCGTAGTGCGATGTAAAGGTGTGGATCAACGACCAGGTCGCTGCCCTGCAGATGTCTTCAATGAGGATTTGTGCCAGGAACGCCGCTGAGGATGCCTGTGCCCTTGTGGAGTGTGCCATCACCGCGGGGGTAGGTATCTTTGCTAAGTCATAACATGCCCAGATCCAGGACATGTTCCAAGAAGAGATCCTGTGGGATGAAACTGGAACAGATGCTACCATCCAAAATATGGCCTGGCCATATATGTGAAGAACACCACCATCACAGATTGTGATGTCCCCTCCCCACACTGAAAAGGAAGCCACCTACACTCCTGCCATCAGAATAGGGGAAGTGCACATCACCAATGTGTATAAAGCCTGTAATTCAAAATGGCTGAAGCCAGCACTCCCAAGAGCACCAATCCCAGCCCGATATGTTGGTGACTTTAACAGTACCACACTATGTGGGGCTATGAAGTTAATGAAGCAGACTGTGAAGACCTCACAAACTGGATGTCTGCGGAAGATCTGCAACTGGTCTTTGATCCCAAACGGCAATCAACTTTCCATACTTCTTGCTGGCAACGCAATGCAATTACAACTCTCATTTACATCCTGCAAATTACTTCGCAACTTCTAAGCTCAGTACCAATGTGGACACTATATCCATTTGTTTTTAACTGGCCATCAGGAAGTTTAGACTTGAAATTTGATGAAGGTTTCTAACCATCAGAGGAGTGAAGTTCTGGAATAGCCTTCCAAGGGGAGCAGTGGAGGCAAAAGACATATCTGGCTTCAAGACTAAGCTTGATAAGTTTATGGAAGGGATGGTATGATGGGATAGCCTAATTTTAGCAATTAATTGATCTTTGACTATTAGCAGTAAATATGCCCAATGGCCTGTGATGGGACACTAGATAGGGTGGGATCCGAGTTACTACAGAAAATTCTTTCCTGGGTGTCTGGTTGGTGAGTCTTGCCCACATGCTCAGGGTTTAGCCGATCGCCATATTTGGGGTCAGGAAGGAATTTTCCTCCAGGGCAGATTGGCAGAGGCCCTGGGGGGTTTTCGCCTTCCTCTGCAGCATGGGGCACGGGTCACTTGCTGGAGGATTCTCTGCACCTTGAAGTCTTTAAACCACGATTTGAGGACTTCAATAACTTAGACATAGGTCAGAGGTTTGTTACAGGAGTGGGTGGGTGAGATTCTGTGGCCTGCGTTGTGCAGGAGGTCAGACTAGACTATCATAATGGTCCCTTCTGACTTTAAAGTCTAGGATTCTATGATTAACACAAGTCTATCACCACCCACATCGGTATAGAAATCCCCATGATTCTGTTTAAACAAATCCCCTGGTGGAACCTGACCAGAGCTGATTGGGATTGCTAAAGGGAAGCTGTAGAAAAAGTGATCCGAATTCCCACACCAGAATGTCATCACCAGTTGTTGGCCTCCTTACAGCTGCCACCAAGAACAGTATCCCTTGGGGGTTCTGGGAAGAATACCATCTCTGCTAGACAAAAGAGACCCAGGACCTGCACTAGCAGTACAACCAGTTGGGCAGCCCACAGGTGAAGGCCCTGTTAGAGTCTCTAGACTCAGCCAGATGCCAGCAGTGGATCAAGTGCAGAGGAAATTTAAGACCGGCGCAGCCTCTGTAGACTTGTCATTGACCTACAATACAATCTGGATTAAAGGCCTTATCAGGGTTCCCTCCCCACTCTGAACTCTGGGGTACAGATGTGGGGACCCGCATGAAAGACCCCCTAAGCTTATTTCTAGCAGCTTAGGTTAAACACTTCCCCAAAGCACAAATCCTTCCCTGTTCTTGGATGAGTACTGCTGTCACCACCAAGTGAGTTAGACAAAGATGCAGGAAAAGGACAACTTGGAATTCCTGTTTTCCCCAAAATATTCCCCCAAATCCCTTCACCCCCTTCCCTGGGGAGGCTTGAGAATAATCTACCAACCAGATAGGTAAACAAAGTGAGCACAGACAAGACCCTTGGGGTTTTAGGACTCTAAAAACCGAATCAGATTCTTAAACAGAACTTTATAATAAAGAGAAAAAAAAGTAAAAGAAACACCTCTGTAAAATCAGGATGGAAGGTAATTTTACAGGGTAATAAGATTTAAAACATAGAGGATTCTGCTCTAGGCAAAACTTCAAAGTTACAAAAAACAGGGATAAACCTCCCTCTTAGCACAGGGAAAATTCACAAGCTAAAACAAAAGCTAATCTAACGCCTTTCCTTCCTATTACTTACAATTTGTAATCTTAGATGCTTAGTTCAGGTATGGCTTTAGGAAATGTATTTTCCCTGCCCTGGTTCCTCACTGACTCGGAGAGGACACAAAACCCCCAAAACTAAAACCTCTCCCCACAGATTTGAAAGTATCTTCTTCCGTTATTGGTCCTTTTGGTCAGGTGCCAAACAGGTTATCTGAGCTGCTTAACCCTTTACAGGTAAAGGAGGGATTTTATGCTACCCTTAGCTGTATGTTTATGACAGGCCTGATGCTGAAACTTGCAAGGATTATCCCCTGCTGCAAAACACTATGCCTGCTATGGATGATGCTGAGCAATAGGCGGCTACATGTCCACTTTGACAGCAAAGACAGTTCTTTCTGGTTCCTCAACAATGGACTGCCACAAGGCTCGGTACTTGTGCTGATGCTTTTCAATGTTTACTCAAATGACATGCCTCCAACGAAGTCACAGGAATTTGCATATGCAGCTGACCTTGCCATTGCAACAAGCAGCCACCATTAGCGACACTGAGTCCAACTTGAACAGGGACCTAAACACCATGGAGCAATATTTCCAGAAATGGAGGCTTAAGCCAAATCCTCACAAAACAAGTCACTGCATTCCATCTTGATAACAGGAATGCTAAGCGCATCTTGAAAGTAACCTTCTGCGGCAACAGTGTACAACATGACCCCACTATGACACATCTCGGAGTGAAGCTGGATCACACGTTAACCTTCCGTGACCATCTGAAGAAAGTAGCTGCCAAGATGAAGACAAGGGTTAACCTGGTCCAGAAATTGACAAGCACAAGCTGGGGAGCACCAGTGTTACAGACATCAGTGGTGGCCCTTCTGTACTCTGTAGCTGAGTACTGTGCATCAGTATGGACCAAAAGTAGCCATACTGGACTGGTTGATGTCCAACTAAAAGCTGCAATGCATTGCTGCAACCCTCAAGTCGACTATAACACCTTGCCTGCCAGTGCTGTGGCACGTTGCTCCCCCATCCATTCACCACGATGTTGCAACCCTTTGGGAATTCCAGAAGATCGTGGAAAATGAACATCTTCCCATCCATCAGGACCTTAACAACATCCCTCTCATATCAAGGCTCTGTCAAATTTCTCTACTTAGACTGTAGAGCAACAACTGTAATTTTACATTTAGATAGTTGAGCCAATACCGTCTGGAGTAGTACAGTGTGTTGCTGTGATGCCTCCTTCGTATTTGTGAATCAAGCATTGAGTTGTTCCAGGGTCTGTTCTGGGTGACCACAGTCACACATGGAGAGTCTTTAATTTTCCATTTGTGCAGCAAGAATCCGCATCTGCCATGATTTGCGCGGATGCAGTTTAGGGTTGCCCATAGCTTCATGGGAGATCAAAGCCAGGGATCTTCTGCGTTGGGTCTTTCACAGGATGTTTATTTGAGACTGGTAAACGCCATTTGGCTTTCCAAGCTTCATCAG